CAATTAGATAAATACAACCTCCGAGCAACCACAAAACATGACATCCTGCACCGCATCATTATTTATTTAACAAAAACAAAACCAACTAAGCCAAACCAGAGTACAGTGCAAGTAGCAACCTGATCCATCAGCAAGTGTGAGCAGAAGTTTGGGCACTTTGCTGATCTGGGGCATTTGGGCGTCCTATCTACAAAAAGGACTACATCTCAGTCTCATCAAGCCTAAATTATCAAAGTTTTATGACAGAGTAATTAAAAAAAAAACTGAATTAAATGTAAGGCCATCTGTCTGACAGCTAAAACTTGACAAAACTGAGTCATGCAACAAAACGCTGGTTTTAAGACAACCAGCAAATCTACAACTGAATGGCTGTAAAAGAAAATAATTAAGGTGTTGCAATGGCCCAGTCAAAGCCCAGATGCTGCAGTGGGACCTCACGAGAACTACAAATGAAGCAACTACCTGCAAAGCTCAATGAACTGAAGCAATGCTGTAAAGAGGGGTGGGCAAAACAATGATGATGTGGAAATTGATACAAGTGATTCAGAAAATGATTACATCAAGTTACAAACTACTGAATCATGAAGTTTACTTCAGTCTAAACTCATACTGACGTAGACCAAGGGTGGGTAAAAAGTATAAACGTCTTTGGTGAAAGGCACCAAGAGAAAGATGTAACCAGTGACTCATATAGTTTATAGCTCATTTTACATGAACACAAAAAATTACCTCATCAAGTTTGGTTTGATCGCAGGGGAAGGAGAACGTAAAACCCAAAGGTAAAGATGCTCCTTTCATGCCCATGTATTCCAAAAAGTCAGCTATGCAGTCCACAATATGGTTGAACAGCTAGAAAAAAACAAAACAAAACAACAAAATTAAAAGGAATATTATAAGGTATAAGTACAAATAAGTACAAAGCATCACTTTTGCAAACATCCACAGTACTGTGCTTTGACATGGCAAGTTCTAACCAACATTTGGCCTTAATTTAGCTCTTAATCACAAGTAGCTTCCTGTCAGTCAGTTTCAGTCGAAGCACTACCTCTTCCCCTGTGCCTTGCATGATTTCCTGTGGGATACTGTAGATCTTCTGTTGCATATCCACACTGCGTTTTGTTCCACTTCTCACTCGCACCAGAAGCACTCGAAAGCTGGAGCCTCCGAGGTCCAAAGCCAAGAAATCACCATGTTCTGTCCAGGTATAAAAGACATTAACTCATTATATTAAAAAAAGAAAAGAAAAAAGAAACCTTGTGTCAAAAACAAGCCAGAGCTTGGGGGAGGCGGGGTTAAACCTACCTGATCCGTCGGGAGTGGATCGGACATAAGTGGGAAGCATCTTGATGCTGGCCTGCTTGTGGGTTTGCTTTGACAGACCTCGGGTCATCTCCTCGCTGAATCGCCTCTTTACCTCCAGCAGCTGTTCGCGACTCAAGCGCAGCGTGTCGAGGACGCACTGCCGCTCAGCGTTTTGATTGGCAAGTCGGAAGGCCACCGCAGTCACCATAGCTGCACCCTTCCCACTACCATCCTGTGACTGCAAAAAACGCACATCGCAGTCGGGTACAAGTCGACGAACCATTTTGTTGAGCCTCCTGGAAAACCTAGAAAAGACACACATTTGGTTAAGTCCCCATGGTTTCTGTCTTCTGTTGTTCCCTTTTCGCTTGTACACATGATACCCAAACA